AAGAGCAAAACTCCTCTCCATCAGGCTGCTCATGGAGAACCCAGCTCAGATTTTGGGATAAGCATATCAGGTCGACCCAAAGTAAAGGCAAGCACTTGGATATTGGCCAAGTGTCTATGTCTGAATATGTTCTGAGATTCTAATTTGTTTAGTCCATGAGCATTTGTTAAGCCCCAAAAGTACCTGCGAATGCCAAGATGAAGAGAACACCAAGCATCATCAGCTTCTGCAGGAGGAGACCCTGAGCCAGGGATTTTGTGTATGTGATTCTTAGGGACGGGCTCCCAGGGGGAACCAGTAAGTGTATAGAACAAACAGAGAAGAGAAGGGGAAGAAGTCAAGCAAGGTGTGATTTCAGGCAAAGTCTCACAAAAGATAGCTACATCCTGACCCTGCAGGCCTCTGGAGCTGATCTCTGACACACACAAGTCAGTTACTGACAAAGCCCTCCCCGAGGGGCTGTACACTCCCAGGGACCGCAGGCTCTCTGTGCTGCAAACAAACCAGCTCCCACAACCTAGGGTCTCAAGTGTAGGCCCCGAGGAGCAAAGGCACACAGAGGCTGGACAGGGATACAGAGAAAGGGTCAAAATGATTTGAGCACATCTGGGCAGAGAAGCCACGGGGCCCTCTAGAGTCACCAAGGAACTCATAGTCCAGTGGGGAAAACAGACATGATCAGAGAGATGTAATCATGAGTTTCAGATACTCGAAATAAAAATGAGTTCACGCCACCAAGTGAAAGAAGACCGAGCCATCAGATTCCCCTGGCATTTGAGGAAAGCCTTCATTATGGTGGAGGTATTGGTTTGCTGTCTGTGCCACTGTGTTTTATCTTTCCACACTTCTGCTCTAGCAAACCTGATCATTTTATTGACTACTTCTTCTGCTTTACAATCAGTCAGGCTACTACAAAGGAACCACTGGAACATGGGTGACCTGTGATCGATCTGACTAGCAGGTGTTAATGCTGTCGCCTTTCTTCATTCGACAGCCTTCTTATCACCACAAACCTTTAGATGCTACAAATGACAATTGGTCATAAAGTTCAAGTTTATCTGCAAGACCACTTTGACTAGTGGGACAACAAGTGAAGATTTCAAAACCTGCAGTGGGACCAGGGCCTTCTCACTCTATAGCATATGGCTAAAGATGAAATTGTTTGCATGTTTCTTATGAATATCACAGTAATGCTATTTTCCCCAGTTAATTGATTCTGTCCCAAATATAACCAGGCAGCATTAAGTGACTCTTCCCAAAATAGTACTCATGATAATTATGTATCTTTTGACTTGAAAATTGTCTCATCCATGAAGGACTTAAAATTGTTTTACATTTACTCATCACATATCTCAGAACAAAGGAATTTGCAGTCCTTCAGAATCTCTAGAAAATTTGAATGAGAAATTTAGACTAATATTTGTTATAATGAGGATTTAATATATCTCTGGAAAATATTATTCCTTCATATGATGACTTCCCATGAACCTAGATAAACATTAGGTGTGTGCTTATCTTTATTTCCACAAATACCCAGAAAGGATTTGGGGCAACTTATAAGCTATTTTAAGAGCTGAAAAAATTGCAAACATTAGAAGTAAGGATAAAGAAATTCGGCAGGGACAAAGTGAAGATACTAAAAGCACAAGAAGTCATATTATAATGGCCTACATCACTATTGGGGTAAAACTAACTATAAAACACAGTTTATTTAAGTTAGAATCATTCTTTAAGAAAAGATGAACTGATTTGGGAGAAAACAGGCTTATTGCAAAAGCAATAAAAGAAAAAAAATGATGCCTATAAGATACAAGAAAAAATAAACACCTGATTATTTGTATAACTTTCATCACACAAACATAACATGGTTTGCACACTCTTGGAAGAAAACCAAATTTAGTTCAAGTTAGAGCTGAGTAAAGATAAGCTGATGACCCCAAAGCACGCTTGATCTTAAAAAGACATGGAAAAAAGAATTTTAAAGGCTAAAATAGGAAGTTTTGTGGAACCCTGAGTAGGTGACACAAACCACCCTGAGGAAAGCTGAGTGGAGCCATAAGAGGAATAAAAAAAAGATATTTGGGTTGAAAAATAAATATGCTTATCTGAGCATGAGTGATTGAAATCTTTGGTGGCGCTGGGTAGGTGAGGGAGAAGTTAAAAAATCAGGTTGTTGTAAATACCCTCAAAATGGCAGACTTTATAATGAGTAAACTTTGTTGAACAGGAAAAGATAGAGCCTCAGTCTTCTGGAGCCTAAAGAATTCGCTCCATAAGTAAAACCTACTGTGAATAAACCATAAATTTAGTTCTAAGCTTTCTAGCATGAACGCAAAACCAGAAACTTTTCTGCTACAAGATTTGAAATATCCATGAAATAAAAAGAAGCCAATGGCTTGGGGGAATTGCCATGTGCCTTAATATTAATACTAAGATTCTATAGAAGGGAGAGGGAGAGGAAAGAAAGAAAGAAAGAAAGAAAGAAAGAAAGAAAGAAAGAAAGAAAGAAAGAAAGAAAGAAAGAAAGAAAGAAGAAATCTCATGACACAATGAATGCAGTGGCCTATACAACATGCTTATTCTAATCCCTGCTAAGGTTTCTGAAGGCTATTTATGATATCAAAATAGTCTGAACAGATATTACAGCAAAATGAAATTCAGTTTTAAAAATATCTTTCCATGCAAGGTCTTGGACAAAGTTCTCTGGTTATTCAATGTGATCCACACATATGTTTAAGGATATCTGAAAGAGGATGGGCTGATGTATCTTGCAAAATCCTCTCTGAATACCATTCCTCTTGGCTGATCTTTGCATAAACATGAAGCTTGGTCTAGTTTCTCTGGGTGAGAGGCCTTGAGTTCAACTTGCCCATGTTTTCTGTAGCATGCGGAACTGTGTGCCTGAGAGACCAGCAAGCCAAGGGCAGGGAGAGAAGCTTTTGTGGAAACTGAGGAGACAGATTGGAACAAGTGCCTGAATGCAAGCCTAACCCACTTCCCCCATATACGAGGTGAGGAAGTGAGATGAGGAAGAACTGGCTTGACAGGGTGGGATTCATTCAGGAGACGCTTTCTAATCTGCTCATTAAGAACATATATTTAGCTAAGTAAGACCCCCAATTTCACCTCTATCTGCATTGCTGGAAAAAAGAGGTTAAGTAGACAAAAATAAACAAAGAAAGTTTTAAAAACATTTCAGAAAGTACCAGCTATGTATCTAAATATTGGACTGTTCTATTTTCTAAAGGACTGTCGAAGACAAACTGTTTACCAGATGTGCAAACAGGTAACTTCATAAGGCGATTTATGGATGGGAATTAGGATGTGTAAGCACTTTGGAACGACCATCCTGGAATCCCACACTGGCTTCCATTCCCACCATCAGTGTATGGTAGTCTAATTGGTTCATACCCTTGGTAGCAGCTGGAGGATAATTGTGCCTTATCTTCCAAAAATAAAATGGACTTTGCTGTTTACTAAATAATTCCATTTCTAGGAATTTATTCTTCACATATACATGTAGAATATACCACCCAAACATCTGCTTCAGCCAGAAGCTGGAAACAATTTTCATGTCTGTCCCTAGAGGACTGACTAAAGCTTATTCGAACAATGGAATTCTGTACTATCGTCAAAAGGGATAAGTCTATATGGACTGATGTGGAAATGTTCAATATTAAGTGACTAAGGAAGGTGCATACGTGTGAATGATACAACTATCGTGTATATGTGTGTGCCTTTGTGCATGTGTATGTAGATATGTTGAAAAACAATTGCAGTAATCTATTAATAGGGAGAGGGAGATGCTGATAAATTGCAACCAGACTAAACAGCTCGCCCGGGCCTCTCACCACTAAAACCTGTGCTCTTTTCACCACACGAAAGAGTAGATGTGTCTGGCTTCCATTTCCAAACTAATCATACAAGCCAGTAAACGGTACTTGACCAGTAGTCAAATGGCAAGTGCTTCCCTCTCACACATTGCTTCCCACGATCATTGTTGTCTCTTAGAGTTTGTTTTCTTTCTTTCTTTTTTTTTTTGTAATAACCATAAAATCAAATCTCCTAAGGGGCCAACCCAAGGATCTTCATTTCAAAGAAGCACCATCCCAACCTCTTTTGAGTCATGCTTTTCTGACAAAGGACCTCATTTGTTGCTATTATTGCCTTAGTTCAAGATTTATCACCACACCCTGGGCAAGCACAACTGTTCAGGAAGTGTGCCCTCCCATTGGGTGGATGGGCTGGCCTTTGATCCTAACATAACCCCCACTTACTGCCCTCCATTTTCTCACGGTTATCACTCAGAAATCCAGGCAAGTGTTCACACCAACACCCAATGAGTCTGTTTATTCGCACTGGGCTCGCATTCAATGAGCCTTTCGCTTATATCAAGATGCCCATTTTTTGGCACAGCCTTACAAAGTTATTAACTGATCATGTAACACTTGCATTTTTATAGAGATTATGTACCAAAATCGCTGGGTAAGGTGAAAAATCAGAGATGGTTCCAAGTACCCCCCCAGCACAAGGTAAGATAGTGGGCTAACTTTAGGAGGCATGTTTTACAAAATGAGAATACTAAATCCTAGATCTTAGAATCATCCTTGTTATATCCTGAGCTACTCACACTAGAAGAGGAACCGAGAGCTGACTAAAGGATGAACTCATTCCTGTAGGGCACTTAGGTTGATTTCTTATTGTTCTTCAAATGCTTAAGCGATTCTAAAAGTCAGTTGTTAATGAGCAGCAAAGAACCAACCTCTTTGCACTGGGACGCTAACGTCTTTTTTTGTATTCACGATCAGCTTTGTCCCCAAACACACAATTGTGGTCTCTTTACTCTAAATGGGATATTTCTTTTCTTTCTTTTTTTTTTTTTGTAAATTTTAACAACTAAAGCTTTTATTTTGACTGGTAGATATCTTAGTCAGTTTGGGCTGCAATAACAAGGTGCCATAAACTGGATGGTTTACAAACAACAGATACTTATAGCTCACAGTTTTGGAGGATGGAAGTCGGAGCTCAGGTTACCAGCACGGTCAGGTTCTGATGAAGGTCCTCTTCTGGGCTGCGAACTGCCATCTTCTCCCTGTATCTTCACCTGGGAAAAAAGGTAAGAGAGTTCTTAGGGTCCTTTCTATAAAAGCACTAATCCCATTCACAAGGGCTCCACTTTCATGACCTGATTATCTTCCAAAGGCCCGACTTCTTATACCACTTGGGGGTTAGAACTTCATACATGTGAATTTGGTGGGAGTGGGGGAACACAACATTAAGTCAATTGCAGTAGAATATTGTTTTGATGCAATTATGTTTATATGTGCCCAATGACAATTCTACATTTATTGATGATCTGTAGCTTTCTTAACTCACCAACAACATTGCATATGCTATACTCCCACCAATATTTGTGTTCTTATTATCACTACAAACATAATTTTCCTTTTAATTGTATTTTCAGTCAGTAGCATTTATAGTAATGTGAGATTTGTCATCTTTGACAGAATGAAATTCCCAACACTTTACCTTGATTTTCTGAATAAATAAAAAATTGATCAATAATTGTGATGATCTTATCTGATATTTTTTACTTCAAAGATCAGATAATATCATTCAACTGTCAGCAAAGATCTTTTTTTTCTAAGGGAGCCAACACATTGACTGCTATGCTTTTTTTTTTTTT